TCCTGCAATTAACACCCGTGCAGGCGGCTGATGTTGAGGTAAACAGAGGGTTTGAAGCGCCCCGGAGAGCCGGGGGGTCCTGGCGGGGTGTTCGGACCACCCGTGGGCCGAGTCCAGAGGGTCCCGCTGAGCTCCAGAGCCCCCCGGGAGAGCCGGGCAGGGAGCAGGGACACCTCCCGCTATCCCAGGCTGCTCCAAACGCCGTGATCCCGGACCTGGACACTTCCAGGGATGGGACAGCCGCTGCTTCTCTGGGAAAATCATACCAGGGCGTCCCCACCTTCACAGGGGGGAATTCCTTCCCAAAATCCCATCCCTCTGGCAGTGGGAAGCCATTCCCTGTGTCGTGTCCCTGCATCCCTTGTTCCACGTCCATCTCCAGCTCTCCTGGAGCCTCTTCAGGCCTCTCTGAGCTCTCCCTGGAGTTTTCTCTCTCCTGGCCTGGTTCCAAGCAGAGATGCTCCAACCCTTGGAGCACCTCCGTGACCTCTGGACTCGCTCCAGCAGCTCCGCTTTCTCCCAAAACGAGCCCATGAGTCAGGAGCAGCCAGGATTGGGCTCGGGGCTGCGGCTCCTGCCCCGGAGGAGGCCGAGCCTCCCGTCCTCCTGCACAGCCGGCTGCTCATTCCCTGGAAACATCAAAGGAGGCACCCAGGTCTTAAATGGCCTTTCTCCGGCTGACCCAGAAACGCGGATCAAGAGCTGCCTCATCCCTTAATTGAGAAGTTGGTGACTTTGAGTCTTTATTAAAGAGCTTTAGTGAATTCCCAGATTAAGGGCACAACCGGCCGCTGCCTCCATCCAGCCTCATTCCCTGCCACCATCCAGCCCGATCCCGGCACGCCGGAGCCACCTCGCCCCGCAGCCGCTGCTCCGGAGCCTTCTCCCTGCTCCAGCCTGGAGCTCTGGAGCTCTGGAGCTCTGGACAGGCCCTAGGAGGGTTCCCTGTGCTGCTGCGCTGAGGAGAAATCGAAATCAAACCCAATCCGAGCTGAAAATCAGCGCTGCCCGCACAGAACAACCCAATCCCGGGGGATTTTCCAGCTTGGGATGGTGGAAGGAGGAGGCAGGGCTGGAAGGGGGGGCTCCACACGTGCCCCCTCCCTCCTTCCCTCCCTCCCTCCGCCTGCAGGTTTCCATCTGCCCGTGCCCCGTGCTCCTCAGCGCTGCCAGGAAAAACAGGGATGTTTTGGATCATCGCCTGCCCGCGGGCTGTGGGAAGGGGCTGCCGGCGGGGCAGGACTTCCCTGGGTGGGCGTAGAGCTGCGAGCTCCGGGGAGGAAGGAGGCTGGAGAGGAGGCAGCGCGTTCCTCAAGGCGCCGTTCCTGCCTGCTGCTGCGGATTCGCGTGTTTTCCAGGGAAAACAGGGCTGGGAGATGCTACTACCGAATCCTGGGAGAGGCAGAGAGAGCAGGAGCTGCTCCCGCTTCCAGCCGAGCTCTGGGAGGAATCCCAGCCCGGCTGATTCCCGGGGGGGGCACGGATGGAGCAGAAAATCACCCCCGGCCCTGCCTGCCTGGCTCAGGAGGCCTGGGGGGGATTAAAAACCCCTCGCTGGCCCAGCTGGGGTGGGTTTTGTGCCCGAGGCCGGGGCTGGCAGTGGCCCCACGACGCTCGCACACACGCGTGGACACACTGGCGCACTCACCCGCGTCACGGTGACACACGGCCGGGGCCACACTGCTGTCCCTTGTCCCTTCCCCAGCGGTCCCCTCGTGGCGTCCCTGGCACCGCGGCCTCACCCAGGAGGTGCCAGCCGTGTCCTTCACCCTCCTCTGCCTCATCCCCGCCAGCCCGGCGGCTGCTCCCGCCTGTTTCTATGGGAACTCGGCAGGAAAACGCGGTTGGCAGCGCCAGCCCGCTGGATGTCACCCTGTCACCCTGTCACCCTGTCACCTGCCTCTGCGCACCTGAGGCCCCTCGCCACAGCCCTGGGGGATGTCCCTGGCAGCCAGCAGGGCACCGGTGGCCCGGAGCAGCACGATGGGTCCCCATGGTGATTTGGGGGCCCCCCCGAAAACACCGGCTGTCCATAAAGGCCGGGTTTTGTGCTTCCCGTGGGATTTTTATTGCAGGGATTTTAATTCCTCAGCCATCCCCTCTCTGGGAGCCCTAATCCCGGCTCTGCGTCCCCAAGGGGGTGGCTCGAGGTGGGCGCCAGGTGTCCCCGGGCCGCGGCTCTGCCAGGCCGAGGAGGGATGGAGCTGCCTTGGGAAGCGTTTCCCGGCCAAGGGAAGGGGACAAGAGGGACGGGTGCGGGTCCGAGAGGGACAGGAGCTTCAGAGCCGGACAGGAGCTCTCCTTTCCCGTGAGGAAACACCAGCGGGGCCCAGGGGAAGGATCTGGAGCAGCCACACGCGCACACCGAGCCCGGTGTGGGCCGGGCTGAGCATCCCGGGACGAGCTCAGCGCCGGGGATGCAGAGTCGGATTCACGGCGGGATTCATGGAGGGATCACAGTGGGATTCATGGAGGGATCACAGTGGGATCACAGTGGGATTCATGGAGGGATCACAGTGGGATTCATGGAGGGATCACAGTGGGATCACAGTGGGATTCATGGAGGGATCACAGTGGGATTCATGGAGGGATCACAGTGGGATCACAGTGGGATCACAGTGGGATTCATGGAGGGATCACAGTGGGATCACAGTGGGATCACAGTGGGATTCATGGAGGGATCACAGTGGGATCACAGTGGGATTCACGGCGGGATTCATGGAGGGATCACAGTGGGATTCATGGAGGGATCACGGTGGGATTCATGGAGGGATCACTGTGGGATCACAGTGGGATTGATGGGGGGATTCACGGTGGGATTCATGGAGGGATCACTGTGGGATTCACGGATAGATTCATGGAGAAATTCATGGAGGGATTCACAAAGGGATCACAGTGGGATCACGGTGGGGTTCATGGGGGGATTCNAGAGCCCGGGGACAGCCTGGATCCGCATCCCAGAGCCCGGGGACAGCCTGGATCCGCATCCTAGAACCCGGATCCGCATCCCAGAACTCGGGCACAGCCTGGATCCGCATCCCAGAGCTCGGGCACAGCCTGGATCCGCATCCCAGAGCCCGGGGACAGCCTGGATCCGCATCCCAGAGCCCAGGCACAGCCTGGATCCGCATCCCAGAGCTCGGGGACAGCCTGGATCCCCATCCCAGAGCTCCGGGACAGCCTGGATCCGCATCCCAGAGCACGGGAACAGCCTGGACTCGCATCCAGGAGCTTGGGGACAGCCTGGATCCGCATCCCAGCAGCAGGGACCTGCTTCCCTGCAGGAACCGCACTTCCCTGCGCATCCCCGTGTCGGGGGACAGAGGGGATCCTGCTCCCTTTCCTGCATCCCAGCCTCGGACAATGCTCCCCGGGCATGCCAGCGCTGGGATGGCGGACGGAGAGTTCCCTGCATCCCCGCTGGATGCCAGGACATCCCTCCGCATCCCTGGGACCGCGCATCCCGCGGGATCCTGCTCCGGGCGGGTGTGGAACCCTGGGGAGCGGGGCGGGATCTGCACCCCGGCACTGCAGGACAGCTCAGCTGCTGCCCGGGGTGGCTCAGGAGGGGCTGGCAGGAGCCTGCTCAGGCCCCCGGCCCGGCCCGAGCTGGGCACGGAGGCACTGCAGGCTGCAGCCACGGCACCGTGCCCCGATCACTGCCCTNGCCCAGCAGAACCCGGGGAGCTCTTGGGGGAGCCCCCCAGCCGAACCAGACAGGCCGAGCACCCCAATTTGGTCCCCAGTCATTCCCTGTTCCCTTAACGGCGCAGCAGGAGCTGCTGGAGCAGCCCCCATCCCAAAGCCAGGGACACAGCGGGGCCTTTCCTCCTGCAGGCAGAGCTGGGGGCAGCATTGGGATGAAAAAATCCCATGGGAGCAGCGCGAGAAGGCACTGGGTGCTGCCCGGCATCCCTCGGAGCTTCCCTTCTCCACAGCCGGGCCCGGTGCCACCCCCGGAGGACAACGGCCACCACTCGGTCCCCTGGGCCCCGGCTGGGGCTGGACCCTTCCCCAGCCCTGGCCTGGTGGTCACCACCTTCCAAACCCATTCCCTGTTCCGCTGTGACATTCCAGTGGAGCTCAGGGAAGGTGGTCCCTGTTCCCGAGGTCACAGTTCCAGCTCCACCTGGAGGCTCCTGGAGCAGCCCCGGGTCCTGGGGTACACATGGAAGGTGCTCCCCGACTCCAAGGACACAGCCCCGGCCCATTCCCCGGCATTCCCAGTCCTGGGACACGCAGAAAAGATCCCAACCGAGGTCCCAGCTCCAGCCGCACCCGGAGGCTCCCGGAGCATCCCCAGCCCCACTCCCGGCCCCGTCTGGAGCTGCCTCAAGGACGCCTCGTCCGCTCTGCCCAGATTAGAGCGGCTGATCCCGGCGCTCTGCTCCAGCCCGCCGGGGGATCTTTGCTCTCTTTGCCGGGTTTTTATTGCTGTCTGGGCGCACAGGGAAAGCTCCGGGTGCCAGATAGGGACGGGCTCAAAGATCCCGTCTGGAACTGCCTCACCCGGCAGGAGCCGGAGCCCCACGCGAGGCGAGGCACAGCCTGCAGCTCTCAGCCTGTCTAGACACCAAAATCGCCTCGCCACGGCCCCAATCCCAGCACCGGAGGCAAGGAAGGGGCGAGAGGGAACGGGGAACAACGCGCTGGGATGAACCGGGAGCAGCGCCTGGGGCTGGAGCCTCCCCGGGCCGCGCTCCTGCTGCCTCAGCCCGGCCAGCACAGCCAGCTCCGGGGCCCCGCAGGAATTCCCCGCTGGGCTCCGGGGGATGTTTCCCTGCGGGAGGACGCGGAGCAGGGGGTGACTGGCTCGTCCACCCCAGCCCGGAGCTCCCCGGAGCCTCCCAGGAGAATTTTGCATCGGGAACGGGCGTTTGGCGCAGGAGCTGCAGGTGCCGAGCCCAGGGCTGGGGCCGGTCCTTCCCCATCCCAGGGAGCTGCAGCATCCCGGGATGCAAAAGCTTCTCCCCCCCCGGCTCTTTCCCACTTACTTGATGAAGTAGAGGCCCCCGTGCATCGTGGTGTCCACCTCCCAGCCTCGGGGCAGCCCTGCGGGGACAGGCCAGGAGCGGGGTCACCTCCCTGTCCCCCCCGGGAGCACCCCCTGGAGAAGGGCAGGATGCTGCGGGCGGGGATTCAGGGCTGACGGCGACGCTTTGCGCTCAAACTGCATTTTTGGAGAGGTTCGAGGCCCCCCCCTCGTCAGAGACCACAGGAGGGAAGGGAAAATCCACCAGGAATCTCTCCAAAAATAAAAACCCCAACCCACGCTGGGGAGAGACATCACCTGGTACAACCCCCCCAGCCCTCCCCGGCTGCACACAGCTCCCGCTGGCTCCGCTTTTGGGGGGTCTCCTTTGCATTCCCGGAAGATTTCAGTCCACATTTCCCATTTCCTGGCTTTCCCGAGCCTCACCTGCGCAGGAGAAGTGCCCGCTCTGGATGGAGTAGCCCGTGCCGGGGTGCACCCAGCTGGTGGATTTGGTGTCGTCGCTGTCAAGGACAAGGACAGAGGGGCTGTCAGCACCCCCGGGGGGGCTCAGCACCCCATTCCCACCTCTGGGCACCACGGGGGGTGGAACTTCTCCAGCCAAACGGGGGGAGTTTGGGCCGGAGGAGAACCGCGACAGCAGCGACCCCAAGAAGGGAGAATCAGGAGGACAAGCAGGGCAGGAGGAAGCTCTCGTTTGCAGCCCAAAGCGAGCCCCCCGCCCTTTTTTGCAGCCCCCCAGGAGCGTACTCGATGAAGAAGATCCGCCCGTCCCCGCAGACTCCGTAGGTCCACCTGCCCGGCAGGTCCAGCCAGTCGATGTCATCCCCCATGGGGGTGGCACGGCGGGCACGGAGCGGCCCGGGCACGGAAGCCGGCCCGGGAAATGCCCCGCGAGTCCTCGGGAGCAAAGCTCAACCCTTCCAGCCCGGCTCTGTGCGCTGCCAATAACCCGCGAGGGAGGGAAAAGGAAAGAAAAAAAAAAAAATTCCCCGACCAAACCCATGGAGTTTAACCCCTTCGGAGCCGGCAGGGCACCCTCCCCGTGACTCTGCAGGGCCAGCCCATCGCTGCGCTTCCTCCAGTGCCTACTCGCTGTAATTACCATCAATTAACTGGAGGTGAGTAATTATGGAGTTGTTACTTCCCTCTCCTGTTCGTTTGGAACAATGTGGGATTCTTCTGGCCCCGTGTGATGTGGCGGCCAAGCCGTATTTAGGGCACCCTGATGATTATCTGCGGCACTCCTGGGGCTGCCCAGCGGGGATTTGCTCTCGCAGCCCTCAATTAAAAAATGTCTTTTAAGGCCAAAGGTGGGGTCTGGGAGGCTCCTGGGCCGCTGATTGAAGGAGCCAATTCGCCCTCCCTGCCTCAGCGGCGCCTTCCCAAAGCTGCTCGTGGCACCGGCAGGGAGATGCTGGCTCGGGAGAAGCCTCGGAGGGGGAAAAGAAGGGGGAAAAAAACACCCCAAAATTTCCTGCTTCCCAAAAAAACTCCCTGGTTGTCAAAGCAGGGATTTTAGGATTAAGGTTGGAAGAGATTTCCAAGATCAAGGTGAATATTTGACCGAGCACTCTGCCACTGAAGCATTTCAGGGCTTTTCCTGCTCAGTCCCCACATCAGAGCAGCTCCCCGCTGGGATTTGGGGAAACCAGTTCCCCGAAAGCTTTTCCAGGAGTTCTTTGAACCACTGGATGAGAAAAACACGTCTGGTCGGTCCCTTTGGGAGAGCAGCCGATGGCACCTGGAAAAGCTGCCACCGTCCTGGGCATGGCTTCACCTGGAAAAGCTCCCCCATTCCCTGGGCATGGCTTCACCTGGAAAAGCTCCATTCCCTGGACATTTTCACCTGGAAAAGCCCCATTCCCTGGGCATTGTTTTACCTGGAAAAGCTCCCCCATTCCCTGGAGTTTCACCTGGAAAAGCTCCATTCCCTGGACAGTTTCACCTGGAAAAGCTCCCCCATTCCCTGGGCATTGTTTTATCTGGAAAAGCTCCATTCCCTGGACATTTTCACCTGGAAAAGCCCCATTCCCTGGGGATGGCTTCACCTGGAAAAGCTCCATTCCCTGGACATTGTTTTACCGGGAAAAGCCCCATTCCCTGGGCATTGTTTTACCTGGAAAAGCTCCCCCATTCCCTGGGCATTGTTTTACCTGGAAAAGCTCCCCCATTCCCTGGGCAGTTCCACCTAGAAATCTCTGTTCATTCCACGGAATCTGGGAATACCAGCAGGGCTTTTGGTTTCCATGGAATCCCAGACTGGTTTGGGTTGGGAGAGACCTTAAAGCTCATCCAGTGCCACGGGCAGGGACATTTTCCATATCCCAGATTAATCCAAGCCCTCTCCAGGCTGGCCCAGGACGCTTCCAGGGATGGACATCCAGTGTTATCCACAGGGATCCATCCCCTCGGGCGACTTTGCCGTGATTCCCAACACAAATCCCAAACTCCCACCCTCCCCATCCATCCTTGACTGTGCCCCAAATTCCTCGTTTTTCCCCCAAAGGAGGAGCAAGACGGGGAAGTGGAGGGATCTGGGATTGAGGGAAATAAATCAGGAGCTCAGGCTGGAGCTGGGTTCAGGGCTGTGGTGATTCCCAGGATGCCCAAATTCCATCCCCTGTCCAAGACAGGCGGATTCGCTGCCTTTTCCTGGGATAACAAAAGGAAGAGGACAGCGGGATGAGAGCGAAAGATCCTCGGACAGGGATGGCAGTTTGGGGATGAGGATTTTGCTCCCAACAACAGGAATTTCCTTCCCCTTCCCTCCATTTCCATTTTTCTGGATTTTCCTCCCAGCTCCAACATCCCCACGGAGAAGGCAGCAGCTGCCTCCTCCTCCTCCTCCACCCAGAGCATTCCAGAGGAGCCCGGCTGGGGATGCTTCCCGCGGGATCCCGCGGTGGCTCAGGCGCCAGGAATGTCACAGAACCGGGCGCGGCTGTGGCTCCCGGGGGTGGCACTTGGGGACAGCGGGTGGCGCTGCCCGCCAGTCCCGAGCGCTTCTGGCACCACCTCCTGGACAAAACATTCCCGGGAAAACAGGCGAAGCGGGAATGCGAGGGATGTGTCCCCAGGGATGTCCCCTCCCCGGCTGGAACCATGGAATGCTCGGGATGGGGAGGATTTCAGGATCATCCTTAGGGAATGAAGGGACAATTCCCATTGTCCCCGTCCAACCTTGGACACTTCCAGGGATGGAGCAGCCACGGATTCTCTGGGAATTCTGTGCTGAGGTGTCCCTGGCACTCCTCCCCCTGCTCCAATCCAGCTGGATTCCAGGTTGGGAACACCCCTGGCATTCCCAGCTGGAGCACAAAAACCGGGAATTCCTCCTGCTCTTTTTTCTGGGTGTAAACTCCTCTCCCTGGAATGCAGCAGAATTCCATCTTTGTGCCTTCTCCTGCTTCCCAGCTCCAGGAAAAACTGCAATTTTGGGATCAAAGCAGGAGTTTTTCTCCTCCAAGCGCAGCCTGGTGCTGATGGGATAAAGAATTCCCAGCGGGAATGAAGCAGGATGAAGCTTTCCCTGCACCCCAGCTGTGCCACTTCCAGCTTTTTCCCCGGCAGGGAGAAATCCCAATTTTCATTTTAAAGCCGATTTTAGAGGCAGTAAATTATTCTGAATTTAAAAACCCGCTTTTAAAACCACCCCACATTCCTCATATCCCGTTTTTTTTGTTTCTTTTTCAGGAATTCCGCAGGAAATTCTGTGTTTTTTCTTTATTCCAGCTGATTTTTTTTTATCCTGATAATCAGGAAAATCAACCCTGGGGTGTTTTAGGGATGAACAAGGTGAAAAGAAAGAGGGGAAAACATGGATTGTGCTCCAAAGTGGGAATTCTGAGTTTATTCCTTTTTTTTTTAAAGGAATAAACCTCCAGGAACTTGGAATTTCTTCCCCAAACTCAGCATTCCAGAGATTCCCTGGGAATGACCACAAATGCAGCAGAACCCTGGGGGTGACTGATTTTGGTTAAATCCCCAAAAACAGGAATCCCTGGAAAAATCTTCACCTTCACCCCTAATTTTGGGATCATTTCCCAGCTCCTGCCAGGAATTCCAGCTTCACATTCCCTGGATGGAATTCCCAGCTCTCAAACCCACGGAATGACCAAAGCAGCTTCTCCCCACTGAGAAATCCTTGGATTTCACAGATTTTCCCAAATTCTCCCGGATTTATCCTGCAAATCTCTTTATTCCAACTCACGGATTAGTCCCGAACAGTTTCTTATGTACAGAAATAGAATTTTTAGGTAGAAAAAAAGAAAAAGAAAAAACCCAACCAAGGGGCCACAAATCAAGGAAAAAAAATAAAAATAAATCCATAGAAAGCCAAATCCAAACTTTCCCCCAAACGATACAAAAATAAAAATCTGCGGGACGGCAGTTTTGATTTAAATCCCGAGTTTTGCTTCCCACTTATTTCAAGGAATTTTCCCAGGGAAAAGGGGAGCTCTGAGGCCTTCGGGGGTTTGGTGTTAATTCCGTTTTTCCCCACGGGAATAACTGGGAAAAAAGGAGGTTGGAGAAGTGGGAAAAGCTCATCCAAGCATTGGGAATGCTGAGGAAAAAAATTCCTTTTTTATTTTGTTTTGTTTTTTTTTTTCCCAAAGGTTTTCACATTTTTTTGGAAGCAGCTGGGAATGATTTAATTCCCGTTTTTTCTGGATTCCCAGAGTTCCCAAGCACCAAGAAATCCGAGTTGTCCGTGAAAAATTGAAGCACCACATTCCCAAAGATCCCAGGGATTGGGAGATCCGTGGGAAAAACCGACTGGGAGATCCATGGAAAAACGGGCACAGCGTGTTTTCCTTGGAAAAAAAAAATCCAAATATTTTTTTTCCTCTTGGAATTCCACTTTTTTTGTCAGGTTTTTTCCCCCCTGAATTCAAAAGCAGATCCAAATGTGAGCAAAATCTTCAAAAATATTTTTTTTAGGGAAAAAAAATTTAATTTTTTGGGATGAAAAGCAGCTGGAATTCCAATTAACTCAAATTTAATGAATCCCCCGGATTTTCTAATTCCACCAACAAAAGGGGATTTTTTTTTTTTCAACTCCAAGAATCCACTTCCTGCAATAAAAATAAAGGATAAATCCTTTATTTAGGATTTTTCAAGTCAGGATAAAAGGGGATTAAATAATTTTCTTCCAAATTCAAAACTGAAGGAATTGAGGATAAACTTAAAAAAGTTTTTTTTCTTCCACAGAATGGAAAATATTCCGGCCAGCTGAACAAATAATTGATTTATTGATCCAACTTTGTGCAAACATTGGAATTTTTCCATTTTCATTCCCTGCTTGGAAAATTCCCACACCAACCTCCAGCTCCAAACCCCTTTTTCCATCCCCCTCAATGATTTTGATTAAAATAATTTAATGTTTTAAATTAAAAAAAAAAATAAAATATAAATAAGAGTTTTGCCCTCTCACTGAAATGTTTTTGGTGAGCCCAGTGCAGACACAAGGAGTTAATACTGATTTTTTGGGAAAGAAAACAGGGAATTTTTACCTTTAAATTTCTTTAAATCCAAGATAATTTCCTTAAATCCAAGAAAATTATCAGGATAAGCAGATTGGATCTAAAAATTCACTTCAATCCCTCTCCCAAAGCAGAATTACAGCAAAGATTAATTAAATAATTAAGGAGTTTTCCTCCCTAAATTCAAGCATCATCCACAGCCTCATTAAGTTTTAATTATTAATTGGGATGAGGAATTTCCTTGCCATAAAAAAAAAAAAACAAACAAGGAATTTGTTGGGAGAAGCAGCCAAAAAAAATCTCTGGAATAATCCTGGAAAAGGGAATTATTTCAATCAATCAAACCAAAGCTTGGCTGGAATATTCAAACCTCAAAAAAGCTC